ATATATTTTGATGATTAATAATAATCCGAATAAATCTGCTGAAGAAGCTGTGGCTTACACAGCGAAACGTTCAGAAAAATCTTGTTTTGATTTTCTTAACACGCTGGGATTAATTTAATTAATTTATAATGAATCAATCTGACTCGGCGCTCAATTTTTTCCAGGAAGTTCGTAACACCTACGGCCTTGAAACCTATAATTAATTAATCATTTTCAAAATATGCAGACCATAAATGTTGCAGAATTATCTGTAATAATTTGAGTATTGAAACACATTGGGTCATTTTTAAAAATTCACTTCAGAAAAATCTTCATTTCGTTTTCTTAATACACTGGGATTATTCGAAGTAATTTTATAACTATCCACTTTCTAGCTGCTTATGAAAACGTTGGTAGATAGAACGGCGCAAAATGATTGATCTAATTGGTAACTCAAATTTCCACAATGGCAGTTGTTAATTCCTTTCCTAACTATCCTCAGTTACTTCTTTTGTGTTCGACTTAACACTGCTTATTGCTAACGACTTCTTCAATTTAATATTTGTTTACCATTTCGATACTTCAGAATCCTAATTACTCGTTTCCGTTGAAATTTATCTCATATAATAAATAAACATTCTCTTCGGTCGTTGGTAACCTTCCTATGGCTGAACTGCACCTGCTGTACACGTACATCTTATCTTATTGAGTATATCCTCACGTTGTGTATTTCTAAACTTTGATCTCTCCGAAATAGTTATGCTGCACAGGGATAGTGCTTTTGACAGTATTTAGCCGAAACCACTCACAATCTGAGAACAGTTTTAGACAAATATTTTATGCTGGATTCTACCTAAAAATAAACTCTCTGACGTATTCAGCTGAAACCTCAGTTGCAAATTATGGTTGAGATATGTTAGAAGAAATCAGTAACCGTTTGGAAATGCGGTTTGTTTAATTGACTTATTTGTCATACCTGAAACCTGGTGTATTATACCACGTCAAGAACATCCTGATAATCCTGAACCATTAGAGTTGGCCGTTCCAACAAGCGTACACTGTATAGGCTATTAATACATATATATATATATAAATATACGCCGTGATTATCACACATTGTTAGACAATGTGCTGACAACAAACCAACAGTAATGTCAATGATAACCAATAAGCATTTGTGTAGCAATGAGCATATCAATATAAGTATGTAGATTTAAACACAAAGAAATAATTAATTTTAATACTTCTAATATTCATTATAATGAACGTGATCATACTTCTCATCTGTCTACATTGTGTGAACTCTGAGATTATCAAAATTCGTCTGCATCCAGTGTCTGGAATAAAGTCTGTGCTAAATCCGTTTCGAAAACAGCTCCGGGCATTACAACGAAGGTGGACAAATTTATGGAATAGTGAAGATACACCAACAGCAGAACAGCTGCACAATTACTACGATGTAGGTTGACTTTAATTAATGTCAGCTTATTCGGAGTGTCACTGACATCTGTAATACTAAGTGAATAGGATATATCTGTATACTGAAATAACTGGTTAAATCTGTCGCTGAACATTTATGCAGTGCTATTCATTACTAATAGTCTATTATTATTATCTGGTCATATTTAGTAGTGTACATTAATTTCATGAAGATAATAGTGTGAATCGAATGTTTTCGAATATTTCATATGCGGGCTACAGCAGAAGAAGTTAGGATACTTTAGAATCAGACAGGGAAATCATAATATTTCCTACTTCTGACTAAATTACAGGCATTATTCCTAATAATTCTGAGCACTCTACGGACGATATAAAATTACTATCCATCGTGCCGATAATCTCGTGGTTACAATTGCAGTTAATTATACAATACCACGCATCATCTGAATATTGAAAGTCGACTCTATTTCACTTTCTGAATCCAGAATACCAATGAAGAAACTAGTTATTCGACTTGATCTTATAAATCTTAAACTGAAATAACAATGACTGACAGATGTATCTAAACTCATTGACATGATCACATCACAATGCCCACTGTCAGTTTCTGAATGCTGCTGTATGGTAAGAGATGTGATGTGATCGCTGACCCATAACTCACACATCACTCATTACATGGTGAGTGACTGTATTTGGGATATGAGAACACAACACAACATTCATTATTAATTTTCTCAATGAACTAGCAGATAAGCGGAAATGCGGGAAAATATTTGTCAAATGTAAATGTCATGCGTGTAATGGAATTTTACTTGTTTATATCAAAATCTTTCATGTCAAATTCAAAGCCATATTGGGACACAAAGTAATATCACCGATAACCTCGTAATGGATGATTATTTAGTATGTATATGGACGATAAATATTTTATTATTATTTGTTGGATTCCGACTGGAACATGGGGATTCGGTAGCATGTATGTTCTCTGCAGTCTTATTCAGTTGGCTCCATGACTGTCAACAAGCTTGAGTCCCGTTGTCATAATCTCAAGGTAGATTCTTCTCCACTCTGCGAGAGCCTTCATTGCTGTTGGTGACATCGTGAAAGCCGCTCGTCTAGGTAGTTGGACTAGATTACTGACTCTTTGGTAGGCAATTCCGAGAGTCACAGATTCCTGCAACTTCTCCACTATATCTTCTCATGAACACATCAAAAATCAGATAGAATACATTTCAGTCTCAAGAAAAGATAAACGCATCTACCTGGGTACAAGAAGGACGAGGGAACAGTTGTAGCTTCAGACTTTTATCTAGTGTAAGCAATCCTAAAGATGAACTGGGAAGTCTTCGAAGGGCAAGAAGTAGACCACAATCCTGGTTTAACATACAGAAAGTGAAGGAGAGAAATGAGAAAGTCACCTTGAATGCTTTATACTCATTTTAGTCAAGCAGATTAGGCAAAATAATATGTGGTTCACATCGATAACTGAAATCTGTAAAGGAAACAAGGACAGTGTGGTACAAGGTGAGCCAGGGAAAAGATGAAAAACGAGAGCAGCAGCTAAATATAACCTACACAGCAATGAACGAAAGAGTGAAGGAGAGTGCTAGGAAAGATGATGTCTCTTTTACTGCATACCAGCTGCTTAATCAGAAGACCGACAATCCAAAAGAGACCTCACATTATCCAAATAATCAGATCGCAATCCTGGAGGAGGCAAATGCAATGAAGCTATTGAAAAAAAGTAGTGAAACAACGGAAACATTGAGCAGACAATTTCAAAGGACACCTATCCAGAAATTCAACCAGCAGACACACAACGTTTTGCAAATACAAATGTTTGACGAAATCAGAAATAATAAATGCCATACAATTACTGTAGGACGGGGAAGTAGAGAGACCAGATTGAATTCCCTTTACTGAAGAAGAATTAGGGATGGAGGTAGAGATCCAAGCGATTATCTATATTCCGCTACTGAAAAATGTGTGGAAAGAAAGACAGGTACCTGCCAGTTGGAAGTAAAGGCAATTTAATTGTATGCTAAAACCACACTCTTGTTCATCCTAAGCAACATATTGGGTGACCACTTAAACAGTGAGAGGTGTTGTGCTGCAATCAGTTTAGGATGAAATCTTTGCAGAAGAGACAGTCAAAACAGACGATATAGCTGAGGATCTCAAAGCAGGAACGGTGTTCACTCCCTTGGAGACAGTGTGCCGTTCGAAAGCACTACGCACAAGGAGGGAGATTCGAATTTCTACAATAATGTTCAGTCAGTCTTTCTATATGATTCAGAGGTATAGTGTGTCACAAAAAGCATCTTAGACAGGCCGTTTGAAAATTTCGTCTACAGCTGTCTTCTCGGTTATAAAGCACAAACAACAAGGAACTCTGTGAACGAAACAACCAATAACCTAATGCCGAAAACGTGTACAGAAAGGGATAGACACTGATTGTGTATGCATCGTGAATACCATGAAGTTCTTTTTATTCCTTCACGCTCCCAGTGGAACATAGGGCTTCAAGCCAGAGACTTGAAGTTTCTGTAGCCGTGTTCTTTATTTTCATGGATGGGGTTGCTAGCCTCATGTCCAGCCTTCACAGCCTTACCAATCCTACTACTGGTTTTGCGAAGTAAATGAGCGCATCGGTTGGGGATCGAACCCCGGACCATTTGCGTGGCCGGCTAACATCCCACCTTTGTGCCACCGACTCACACGAGGTGTGATCCCTCAATGGGAATGTGAATGTTAACCGAAAAGTCGGGCTTCCAGAAATGACAAGGAGGAAGTCATGTGGAGGGAAGTGAAGGCTTGAAAGCAGTTTAACTATCAGCTGAAACTAAAGAAAGAGGACCGTATAAAAAGGAGATATGTCTCCGGATCTCTTAGTTCCAATAGAAATGCAAGGCATCTACCAAAAATATGATATTTTGTGGCGTTACTTTTGTGCAGTGATCTTATTAAACTCCTTGACATTACTAGTGATGGTCACATGTGACAGTCTTAAATGCTCAATAGCTAACGAAAATTCAATGTTAAAAATATTCTGATGAGTTTTAATTCAATATTATTTTATTCGAGGATATCACTTTCGTAAGGATAAGGAAAATTGGTGGAAATTTATAAAATTGCCTACCTGTATTTTTTCATTGTACAAAGTGCAGGATTATCAAAAATTGCCAAACACTATCATTTTGTGTTCTGTTAATCGTAATGGTCATTTAAGTTTCAGTACTATGGAGAATTACTAGTGGGAACGCCACCACAAACGTTTCGTGTACTCTTCGACACAGGATCAACCGACACCTGGCTTCCATCAAGAAAATGTTGGTTTCTAGATATCTCGTGTTGGTTCATTCGATTTTATGACAGTTCGAAATCATCAACTTATCAGTCAAATGGAACAAAGTTTGAGGTAAAATACATCGTTGGTAGTTACTCTGGATTTTGGAGCATGGATACAATGCAGGTATTGTGGTTTCACGGTTTGAAGTAACACTGGTTTTAGATAAACTCCTTAGTTGTTCGCAATCAGGCGTTTGCTGAAGTAACAAATGTATTCTCTGATGACTTCTTTGCTAATGAATTCGATGGAATAATTGGTATGTCAAGGAGAAATGTGTCAATATATGGGAACACTCCATTCTTCCCCAACATACTTTCTCAATCAAAGGATATGGATCCAGTGTTTTCATTCTACCTGAGTCGGTAGGTCCTCAGTTTACAGCACGATATCAGGGCAGTTGCAATGATCTATGGATGTATCAAAGATTTACTGATATTCACCAATGTCTGTTTCCACATTATGTGTTAGTTTGTTATTTGGAATACTGAGAAGTAAATACGTTCAAATAGCTTTAGACCAAAGCAGAGCACAATCTTTTGTTGTGAAATTGGTCGTACGATTTCGTGAAATATTGTTTCAAACTGAATGAATTATTTTGCATGAGCGTTAATAGGGGATATCTGGTGATGAAGAGAGTACGAAGCACCAACCATAAAAAGGATGTCACACGAAAGGTGAAGCTTTTGGCATTATCTACTCCTCATATTCATGAGTTCCAGTGAGTGGGTCGATCACATGCAAGATGTTCAAGTGATGATTAATTTTAAGTGATACAAGCATCCAAGGTACTTACTAAATGATATCGTTGTTTAAAATCATATTACTCGACACTACTTTTGAGTAACAATTGAACAAATACAAACTTTCCCCTCCATGATGTATAATGGCAATACAAGATTTGAAACAATAACCAGTTGTAGCACTGTGAAAGTTTATCACATCCGAATGTAGAAACAGTAAGCACAAAGACGTGCAGAATCAGAGATTTATGAGTGTTAAAATATGTTGGAGCTAATAGTTAATTCATTCCCTAGTTCCACCACAGTCTGTGTTTCTTACTATCATTCTGAAATACGCTTTCGAACATCTTTTCACCTAGTGATAAAGATAGCACTTCATAAATGTATACTCGATGACTATTCAGTATGAGCACTATCTCCCAGCCCCAAGAATGTATGAAAGAAAATGTGGCATGATAATTCGAAACTGCTGCTACATTACCTTATGAGTAATCTTGCTATGCATTGGAATTTTACGTAAATTTCTACGACACGTTTACTATGATTACCATTCACTTTCCCATTGATGAAATACAAATTTGAACTCACCTCTAGCTTTGTAATCAACACACAATTATTATTTCTTGTATTTTGTAGGAAGAATGGTCTTGCTGGTGGAGAGATGGTGCTGGGTGGTGTTGATCCTGAATATTTTACTGGAGATTTCGAAAACTTGCCTGTCCTCTCTGCGAATCGTTGGATTGTTAGTATCAAAAGGTAATTAGTGCATACTTCAATGAAGTTATTTACAAAGAATTCATCATCCTTCATATGCATATGAAGATCGCAGGAAACAATTGTATGCTTATCACATTCGTATCATCTTAGCGAAGTACTTTATCATAATGGCGATTCTTGTGTGTCATAGTAATAAAAGTCATACATTCTCGTATTCATTCACTGAACGAGATGAGATTTGAAAATTCCAAATAATTGAAAATAAATCGTTTACATTGATATCGCCATAGTATATTCGGAACAAGATTAACTTGGGCAAGCATTTCTTTGCAGTCAGTTCTCATCTAAACTTTGTGGCTACAAATACATAAATTGTAGAATTTATCAGCCAGTAAATGAAAATCAGAACTGTGAGAAAATGTTTCAGAGTATAAGTACATAAAGGTGCAATTCGTGGGCGCCATATCTACTGGTAAATTAAATAGCAGGTTGATTAGAACTATTGAAAAAAATTTCAGTGCCTCGGAATTACACACTAATTTTTGAACCAGACCTATACTGAAAAATTGCATTAAAGGTAAGTTACAATTGATGGTCACATCAGCACGTGTATACATATTTAGCGGGTTCTGTGGAGTTAGTTGTTTAGGCCGTATTCATGTGCGAGTTTGGCTTGGAAAAGCAGTAATCAGGTGAATAACTAGTGTGAACTAACCGCATTTAGTGGATAGTGAACATCGCATAAAACAGATGAGGAATTTGCAGTCGTATACTGAGCACCAAACAATCTGTGGTTACATCTCCTGAAGATACAGAGATGAATGAGAACACAATTGACATGTGTGCGCAAAACTGTACATTTGTAAAGACAGAAGACAAGGGCCAGGCGACAAATAGTTTATTGAGAAAATCAAGAGATATTTATAGATTTTTTTGTACGTTATAATTCGTTATTTTAGCAGAGAAGCAAAGTCTTCTAGTTGGATTTTCTTGCTGAAGGCTATTGTGTACTGCTTGTGACAGTTGCTTACAAGGTTATCCGTATATCTGCGAATCGTATTTGCAAACGCTAAGTCTGCTTTGATTGGTTGTTGAGTTCCTCAAGGTTAGTCTCTTTTCTTGTTATTGTCTTTTCTCATGACCAAGATTCGGGACGTAAACATTGACGTCAGTTATTGTCTACAATTTTGTCTTGCTGACAGCCGTCACCACACATTCACCTCATAATTTCATTTTGGATTACTCTCTTCTTACTCCTCTTCGCCTAGTTTACTTCACGCCATTATTGTCGTTATTGTCTTTTATCCTGTGGATTTTCAATAGACTTTTGTTGTCTCCATTAGGTGGGTTCAGTTCACCATATGTTCACTAAATTTTATCATCATATGCTTCTGTTGTCAACCCTGGAGCTCACATTCAGCAAACCCAATTTACTCATAGTTCTGTAGTATTGATATGTTTTCAGAGCAAAACAATTAGAGGGGATAGTTGCTTTTGATAGATTCTCCTTCAGACTCCACAACTATTTATACATTAATCTTTGGCTCAGAAAAGTCACTAAAGCCAAGCTAGATTCATATCAGAAATTATATTGTGGTAATGGTACCCGATTGAATAATAGTCAGTTGGTTTTGACTGTTGCTAAAATCAATATGAAATGTGTAGTCAATAAGCACGTGGGACCAAATCAGATTAAATAATTCATTGGTGTGTGTTTGTGCATGTAAACTCGACAAAAAGTACAGATTTATTGGGCGAGTGTAGTTAGTGACGTTAGAGACAACATAATTACTGCTTATTAGGAAGAGTAGTTTTGTGATCAATACACCATTTGTTGTATAGACTAGTTAATGTTCCAACTACGTTTTACCCTGTTTAGCTTGAAGGTGAATGGAGTGGAGTATTGTGATGCAGCATGCTCTGGTATTATAGATACTGGGACATCCTTGATAGTCGGATCTAATGCAGTGGTGGGTAAAATTAATTCCCAACTCGGTGCCGTATCTGCAACGGATGGGGAGTATAAAGTCGACTGCAGTAATCTCAATAACCTTCCTCCCATTGAGTTTATCCTCAAGGAGAGAAGATACGTATATCAAGCAAAAGATTACGTGGTTAAAGTAAGTATAGATTTTCAGTTGAATTATATGATATTTTGTGATGAGCAAACGTTTATTCATTCTTCGTTGTGAATATTTCAACCATCATTTTATTTCAAATCGTCAGTGAATAAAGTATGCCCGAAATGATTGCCAGGTATCGCTGAGTCAGTCAAAGTAAGTCATCCATCTTACAAAAACGCGTAAATCATACTTGTTGTTATGAAATAAATTTCAACACATTTTGAACTCCATGTGAACAGATAGACAGTGTCACTGTTATTCATTTATCGGAGTAAGTTTTTCTTTGTGAGGGATATGTTCTTCTAATAAGCATTTTCATGGAACTATTTCAATCCAGTCGTGTCACAAAGTCGGCATTAGGTTGACTAAGTCCTTCGTCCGCGATTCCGAGCACCTATCACAAATATATGCCTAATAATACACTGTTCTACCTATAACAAAAACAGGGATTATCTTTGTGGATCACTAGATTCAGCAACTTCCGGATCTTCTGTTGCATTTGGATTCTCGAAGAAGAACGTACAGCTGATCAGCTAAATGACTCACAGTGACTCAAATATCAATAGGACAAATTTCAAGAATCCAAGCAGATTGATCAGGTACGATGAAATTAAAATTGTGATAGTGGGTGAGATAAAATGACGAAGTAGTTGAATTAGAATTCTGATACAATTATTATCTGCAGTCATTGCTAGACACTGAATTAAAGAAATCTGAAGAAGGTCTTTCCATTTTCACATTTCAGGATTACAACTGGCTATCAACAGACTGTCTATCACCTTTCAGAAGCAGTGGTAAATTGTCCAAGGGTTTCTGGATTCTTGGCGATGTATTCATGAGAAAATTCTACACTGTATTCGATTTCGGTGAGAGGGAGATAAGATTGGCTGATGTTAACGATGAATAAAGCCTTTGGTACCGAAACCAGTAAATCACTGAACATAAACATGTTTTACGAAATAAACTAAGAAGTTCTTCTTAGCACATATCATTTATTTCTTGAAGATGTTTCGAAAAATGGATAATTGATGAGGGTGTATACGTCCGTTTAGAATAGTATCACCTGTGGCATTTAAATAATTACGAATTTTTCGATTTTCGAGGTGAACAATAGCATACCAAGGACATAACTGTTCGTTATTTGGATCTCAAGTTGAAGTTTTCCATCTCAGAAAGTTGACATTTCTGTCTTGCTGATGAATATCTGATTAACTGTACTTGTCTACCGGTTAGTTATTGCTTCTGCATATTTCATCTGTTTCGTAATTCATCCATTCACATTGATCCACAATGGGAATCACAAACTGTTCTGAGAATTTATATTTTCACAAGATTTCTACAGCATAATTGTCTTGACAGTGTAGCTGGCGTTCTCCAGCGAACGTATTCGCACATAACTTTGCCTGAAGAAATCAGACAAACTGTGCAAAGACCTCAGACAATAATCATTCAATATTTTAGTTTGCCTGATACCACCTTGCTTTGATAGTTAATGATTGCATTATATCCACCGCCTATGGTGTATATATGAACTTTAGAATTCGATGTCCCATCAAGAGTAAAACTCGTCACCTTGACATTCTAGTTGAGCATATGTATCAGAATGACCCAATAAGCTATAGTTGTCAAGACGAGCTCTCTCGAAGACATTCATGTATCAGAAAGATCCACTGTACAGTGAAATGACTAAAGTCACTTACAATCATAGTGTGCGTTACTTTTATTATGATCGTCATTTGGCATTTAAGAGATTGAGGCATTCCTTATACAACGAAAGTGTTG